CGAATGGACCATGTGCCTGTCCTGCGAATACACCAATTATGTATCTTTTAAAAGGGGCACCCAGGTATGTCATAGTGTAGAAACTATGTGTGTTGAAGGTTTTCAAGAGGGAATCGAAGCTTATATGCAGGAAGTCCCTTGTTTTGTGGGTACTAGAATGAAGGGAGATTTATGTCTTGTGAATTTGGCAAACATGCAAGACCATTGGCTTCTGAGTCGAAGGAAAGCTGCAGGAGGCCATTGCCTTGTGCCTGCTGGCCTGGAGGAAGTCCTGGCTTTGTGAATCGGAGGAATCATGCAAGGGGCCAATGGCTTCTGAATCGAAGGAAAGCTGCAGGAGGCCATTACCTTATGAATCGAAGGACACTTTCAGAAGGCCATTTCCCTCTGAATTAAAAGGGACCACCATGAAGCCATTAACTTCTGAATCGAATGAGGCTTTCAGAAGGCCCTTTCCTTCTTAATCGAAGGAAGCTGGTATGAAGCCACTAACTTCTGAATCGAAGGACACCAACAAGAGGCCCTTGCCTTCTAAATCAAAGGAAGTTGTTTCAAGGGAAACAAATGCCCAGTCGAAGCTAGCTTGCAGGGGAGGATTCAGTCGAAGCTGAGCATGAACCGAAGCAATGTTCAGTCGAAGCTAGTATGAAGCAAAGAAAACTTGCTTTCCTTCAATTTTGTCAAAAAATCAAATTTATCTGCTTTCCTCTTTTAATAGTTTCCTCTTTAACTCGGTGCTTGGAAATCCAATATGATCTAATTGTACTTGTGCAAACTTGAACTAGTAGAAATTTTGTGAGAAAAATCTTGAAAAGTGAGAGGGAAAATTTTGGGGTACAACACAAGAGTCGCCACCGACTTTTCTTTTATCCAATAAAGGAAAGGGTGAAAAGGACAGGAAAGACCTTTCAAGAATTTTTCTTGAGTTTGGGAGGTAGGTTATGAAAAGAGAAGGTGTTAGCACCCTTTTCATCTGTAGTTATCTACGTACTCTTAGTTTCTTGATTACTTTGAAAATGCTTTATTTGAAATGTGTTTGTGAATGGTGTAATTTGAAAATATTTTGATAACACCTTTGTTTCAGCAAACTTTGTAATGATTCTCGTCTCTATAAGAATGTATACAAAGTGTTGGTTTTGAAAATAGTTCAATGAGATTTTTTGTTTGAAGATGTTTTGAATGTGTGAGTGTGGAAATGTTTATAGTTTGTGAGCAAGCAACTAAAAGCGTCCTACCTACTCAAAAGGTCTTTTCTCTTTTCCTCCTCCTTTAAATGTTGCTATCCTAACATGGTTTGATAAGAAGCCCCATTATCGGATGTGAAGGGACGGGCATGGGTCATCGTATAGTCATAGAAGGCAACTTATGAGACGCTTTAGCAGTTTTCGTAGGGACTAAGATCGTTTTACCGAAGGCAACATCGAAGGGTCATCGAGGGACTACAATCTTTTTTATCGCGGGTCTTTGCTAAAGCACCCATATTCGAGAGGCATGACTATTTTCTGAGGCATCAAGCGAGATAATCTTAAAGCACTACAAGAAAAATGTCATTTTACAACACATAGATTGCGACAGTTACTTGATACCCGTCGTAACTCTAATATAGAGACGTGTGTCACGACGGTATACACCAACCACCCTAAAAATTATTTCACGATGGTTTAAAAACAACCCTAAATTATATGTCACGATGGTACATTAACCGCCGCATGAAAAAATATAAGTAATTGAAAAAATTATTTAAAAATTACCACGACATTGACTTACCGTCGTGCCCAATTATTTAAAAATTTCCAAATTCACGACGGTGAACATACCGTCGCCTACAATTAAAAAACTTCCACGACAGAGTCCTACCATCGTCATCCAATAACTCATATTTTGCGTAGCTTTTTGTGTTTTGTCTTCACTGCCAAATAGAATTCACGCACGCAAATGAGTTAGGGTTTTGATTCATCGTCAAATAATTTCTCTCAATCAAACAGAATTCACGCATGCAAAAGAGTTAGGGTTTTGATTCATTGTCAAATAATTCCGCTTAGCCACGCAAATGGGTTTAGGGTTTTGTATCATCGTCAAATAATTTCTCTCAGCCATGCACGTCGTCAAAGTAACCACTATCATTTTGAATCTTAACAGGTTTGTCTTCTCAAACCCTAAATCCCTTTTCAAGCCCTAATTTTTTTCTGCAAATATATGTGATGAATGAATTCTACTGTTAAAAAATCCCAATGTTTCTTTTCTTAGATATATTGAAGACATAAAAATGTATTTGCTGAGTTATAAGTTCTGAGTTTATAAGTGAAAATGTATTCAATTTGTGATTTATAAGTTATGAGTTTCAGTTATGAGTTTTGAGTTTGATTTTATAAGTTATGAATATGCTGCTGAGATGAATGTGCTGATGAGTTTGAGTTTTGAGTTACAGTGGAAATGTTGTTGAACTGAATATGCTGTCTTTGGAAATATAAAATATTTTTCTGCAAATATGTGTGTTTTTGTTTCATATTGTATATTCTAGAAATGATGCATTATGAAGCAAGTACTAAGGATTATGTTTATTGAAAAACTGGAGTTTGAATACATTAGAATAAGACTACAACATATTGGAACAATTTTGTTGTTATACTCATGTACAGGAAATGCAAAAGAAGTTAATACTAGATAGGTATATAACTTGTAACCATGTAAAAGAGCAGCCTTGAAATGAGATAGGTATATAACTTGTAAGCAATTGCTTCTAATTTTATAAATGAGATGAATGATTCTCTAGGAATTACAGTCTCACAATATTTGAAACTTGTATTTGGAATTTTAAAATAGAACCAAATTTTTCCAATCTCACAAACACATAGGATCCACGTGATAACAGAAGGAAACTACTGTCGTTTGACCAAATTTTGTTGACAGGAATGTGAACAACAGAAGCTAGCTTTAACTATAGTACATTTTATTTTAGGTGTAATTGGGTGTTATGCATGTTCCTGTTCTTAAAATTGGTTGCCCTTTTTTCACCATAGATTCAAAGGATAAAATTAAAATATGAATATGCTTTTCTATGCTTTTATTTATTATCATTAAAATAATTTCAATAGGAAATGAATTAATGAACCTTTGTAGTTCTCATGAGCAGCAGATCTGAAACCTTAAAATAACATCTCTGCACATCATATGTTAAAAATGAACATCATACAATTCCCTAACAATTGTGGAGGTGTTTTAGTTACTTTCATTAATAGATAAAATGAATTTCATATACTTAACAAGTAAGAATTAAATTAGAGTCTAGCTAGCAATTATTTAGCACTGTCATATAGTTCCTTAACTTATAAATTTAGTGTACTTTCCAGCCTATATAATTGTATCTCATCTATGAGATAGTGATATTAAGTTTAAATTTATTTGCTGATTTATGATTTTTGAGTTTATAAGTGAAAATGTATTCAATTTGTGATTTATAAGTTCTGAGTTTTAGTTATGAGTTTTGAGTTTTATTTTATAAGTTCTGAATATGCTGCTGAGATGAATGTGCTGATGAGTTTGAGTTTTGAGTTTGAGTTTTGAGTTACAGTGGAAATGCTGTTGAACTGAATATGTTGTCATAGCAGGCAGAATCTTTCCCAACCTATTAGTCATGATCTTCAAAATTATCTTGTAAAAGGTTGTACAACCTGTTATTGTCCTATAGTCCCTCACATACTTAGCATCATCCTTCTTAGTGATCAAAGTAATAATTGTTTTGTTAAACGCCCTGTAAAGCTTACTCTGCTAAAATAAATCCCTTATAGCAGCAATCACATCACTTTTAACAGTATCCCAATAGGACTTAAAAAATCTAGAACCATATCCATCACTTTTAACAGTATCCCATGCTCTGCAAATTTCCGTGTTTATGTATTATTATGAGATTTATACCATGGTAAAATTGATAATATATCTCCTTCTCCCTATTTGACCTAAGTCTTAGCTTATGCTTCATTTTGTTTTTCTGTGTTGTGTTTGTTTTGCTTTTGAACATTAGAATGTGTTCTATTAGGCCTTCATAGTTTAGTCTGACAGCCCATTGATAAATCTTGCCTAGCTTGTAGCACTCCTTTTCTGTTTAAAAAAAAGGTTGTAACACACTTTTTGTTGTTGCAATTGTTTCAAGAAGTTTTTCCTACCACTTTTTCTTAAAATAGAAACCTCACTTACCAGAAAATATCTTTGGTCCATACTCAGCTGACAACCCTGTCTCAAGGCTTATATTCAAATTGGAGGAATATCTAAAGAAGCATTTTAGAGAGTTCATGCATGCCCATTGCTCTCCTTTAAAGCAGGTAAAATTAACTAAGTTAATTTTCTATATTCTGTTTGGATACCTCCTCTCCTTTAAAGTAGGTTAAATTATCTAAGTCAATCTTTTATAATCTGTTTGGATACCCTTTTTTTAAACTTGAATCGTCAACTAAAATTTGTTGCTACTAATTAGTTTTGCTTCCAGCAACATGCTCTGCAAATTTCTGTGTTTATGTATTATTATGAGATTTACCATGGTAAAATTGATACTATATCTCCTCCTCCCTATTTGACCTAAGTTTTATCTTATGCTTCATTTTGGTTTTCTGTGTTGTGTTTGTTTTTCTTTTGAACATTAGAATGTGTTCTATTAGGCCTTCATAGTTTAATCTGATAGCCCATTGATAAATCTTGCCTAGCTCATAGCACTCCTTTTATGTTTTAAAAAACCAATACTAAAACTCCATCTATTTTATTTTTCTATTTCTTATATTCAAAATAACATTTTTTCGTAAGTACTGGAGTTCTTGAACATATATATCTATATTTTTATTTTTTGAAGAAATGGATAAGTCATTGATTACTAAGCCACTATCATCGATTGCGTATCAATAAGGGATAAAGAATTTATTGATTTTTCATTTAAAGGTGAAAAAGAAAATGATGTAGTAATATTCCCTTGCAAATGTTGCGGTTTCAGAAAATCAAAGAGTAGGAGTGACATGTTCGACCACTTAAGTTGGTCACCATTTACGCAGGGATACACCATGTGGATCCATCATGGAGAGTCTTTTGTAAGAAATAGTACTATCTCCCCTAGTACTATTCCAAATATGGTTGAAGATACTATCATTGTCGAAGATCCTATTCAGAACATGATCAACGATGCATTTAGAGTTGATAAGAATCATGCAAATGAAATACCATATGCGTCAAATTTGGAGATTGACCAAGAAGATTATGCGATGCCAAGTGCAACTCAGGAAAGAAACGAAGCCAAGGAGTACTATGAATTGGCTAGAGAAAGAGAACAAACTTTATATGAAGGGTGTAGACGATATTCAAGACTATCTTTTTTGGTTAAGTTGTACCATATAAAGTGTTTATGTGGATTGAGTGAGAAGGCAATGGCAATGATTTTAGAGTTAATAAAAGATGCATTTGAAAATGCAAATATTCCAAGTTCGTTCTATGAAGCCAAGAAATCAATCACAAAACTTGGTTTGAATTATGTAAAGATATCCGCATGTCCAAACGATTGTATGCTTTATTGGGGAGAAGATGAAGAGAGGGAGACTTGCAAAAATTTCAACACTTCAAAATGGAAAACAAATGAAGATGTCTCTGTTAACAAGAAAAAGAAGAAAATTCCTGCCAAGGTTATTCGTTATTTTCCATTAAAACCTTGATTACAGAGATTATTTTTGTCATCAAAGACAGCTGAGGATATGATATGGCATGCAAAAGATACTAACAATGATAGAATGTTGAGGCATCCTAGAGATTCAGAAGCTTGTAAGAAATTTGACTTGACACAAAATTTGTTTTCATCAGATCCGTGAAATGTACGTCTTGCATTGGCTAGTGATGGGTTTAATCCTTTTGGTGTGATGAGTACAAATAATAGTATTTGGCCATTTGTTCTCATTCCATATAACAATCCTCCATGGGTTTGCATGAAGTTGACATCATTTATAATGTCAATGATAATTCCCGGTAAAGAAACACCAGGAAATAATATTGATGTCTACTTACAACCCTTAGTCAAAGAGCTGAAGGATTTATGGAAAGATGGTGTGGATACATATGATTCTCTCAAGAAAGAGATGTTCAAGTTGCATGCAAATTTGATGTGGATGATTAGTGACTTTCCAGGTTTGGGTGCACTTTCTGGGTGGAATACATACACTGGACATGCTTGCTCATCATGTAACTTTCAAACTACACCTCTCTGTCTTAAAGATAGTTGTAAATTGTGTTTTATGGGTCATTGATGTTTCCTTGATCGGAGACACATGTTTAGATTGAACAGGATTCGCTTTAATGGTGAACAAGAAATGCGGAGTCCACCGAGAATATTATCTGGACATGAAGTTTTTGAACAGGTTAAAGATGTTGAAGTCATCTTTGGTAAAAAGCTAGTGAAAGAAAAATTGATAAAAAGAATACATGAGGGACAACTTATAGAAGGTGATAGTACAGAGGGTGGTCCTACACAAGGTCATCCTCAACAATGGAAAAAGAAAAGCATATTTTTTGAACTTCCGTATTGGAAGGATAATCTTTTGCGCCATAATCTTGATTCGATGCATATTGAGAAAAATGTTTGCGATGATGTCCTATTTACTTTACTAAATGATAGGAAAAAGAGTAAAGACCATTATAAAGCTCGAGAAGACCTTCAAAATATGGGCATAAGACCTGAGCTTCGGCCTGATGAAAATGGTAGAATTTCTCCGGTAGCCTTTACTTTAACGAGTAAAGATAAAAGGAATTTTTTAACAACTTTAAGGAATATTAGGGTGCCTGATGGTTATTCAAGCAACATTTCTAGATGAATTGACTTAGTAAATCACAAGGTGAATGGAATGATGAAGAGTATTGGTTGTCATATATTAATGGAACAACTTCTACCATTATCCATTCACACAACATTATCTCATGAGATTTCAGCAATTTTGATTGATTTGTGCTCATCCTTTAGACAATTATGTGCCAAGATATTGAAAATTGAAGACTTGGAAAAATTACAAAACCAAATTGTCCTCACTTTATGCCACATGGAAATTTTATTTCCTCCCTCGTTCTTCACGGTTATAATCCACTTGGTTGTTCACCTTGTTGAAGAAGTTAAACTTGGAGGTCCTATTTATTATCGATGGATGTATCCTGTTGAAAGGTAAACTATGTGATTTTGTTCTAATGTTACTAACTTAGAAAGTAGAAATTTTTAACCGATATTATTATGGTTCAATAATAGGTACTTGGGAAAACTTAAATCACATGTACGTAATAAGGCAAAACCAGAAGGGTCTATTGCGGAAGGATACCGTTTTGAAGAGATTTTGACATTATGTTCATGATATCTAGAAAACATTGAGACTAGATGGAATCAACCTGGACGTGTAGATGATGAACCTATTGGTGATATCCAAACAGGTTCACGTGTAGCAGAATTGTTTCCTAGAGTTGGAAAACCTGTGGGTGGATTTTCGTATTACACCCTAACACCAATTGAAAAGTTGCAGGCTCATAGACACGTTTTAACAAATTGTCCAATAGTTGACAACTATCTAAAGTAAGTAGTTGTATTCCATTTAAGTAGTTTTATCTACACTATTAATATTTTTTTTACATCTAATATTGAATAATCAAATAGACAGTTCCAAAGTATTACTCATAACCAAATGAGGCACAGTCAAAGAAGTACTGCTAAGATAGACAAGAAGGTTCATAGAGAGTTTGCTCATTGGTTCCACAATCGTGTGAGTTTTATACAAAAATAGATGTTTGTATTGAATTGGTTTTTAATTATAACAAGACTAATTGGATGTTATATCGTGTATAGATTTGCAACAATCTTGACAGCATTCATGGACCAGATAAAGATGTTTTCATTAGTCTTGCTCATGGCCCTTTGATAAAGTTAAAATATTTACCGCGTTCAATATCAATGGATTCAAGTTTCGAACATTGTAACGAGACAATCTTTTAAAAACTCAAAACAATGGAGTTTTTGGCATGTTTGGGACACAAAGTTATTCAAGCAATAGTGATACTCAAATGAGATTTGGAGGGGTCCTTTACTATGGAAGATTGATAGACATTATTTTGCTTTCCTATGATGGCTTCACAGTGCCCATGTTTAAATGTGAATGGTCTAATACCACAAACCTAAGAGGCATTAAAATAGATAAGTTGGGTTTTACCTCTATAAACTTTGCAAGACTACTACATAATGGGGAACATGAAGATAATGAGCCATACATTCAAGCATCAGAAGCTCATATGGTTTTTTATGTGGATGATGAGAGTGAACAAGGATGGAGCATACCTGTTCATTTGAAACCAAGATACTTGTATGATATGGGTGGAAATTATGAAATTATGACACCCATTGAGCCATATCCATCACAAAATTTGGAAATTTTTTTTTTGAATGATTATCTTGGAACTTCAGCGGCAAATGATGACAATAATTAAGATATAGTTTTTTATTGATAAGAAGTCTAGTTTGTTTGTAACTTGTGTGAGACTTATGTTTTTTGTTGCTTATACATAATTAATGTATTAGATGACATTGTTACTCTATGTTTTTTGTTGCTTATCCCTAATTAATGTATTAGATGACATTGTTACTCTATGTTTTTTTGTTTCTTATCCCTAATTAATGTATTAGATGACATTGTTACTCTATGTTTTATTGCATAATTTGTCTTTTATTTTGTGTTTTAATACTTATACTTGCAGTTGAATCCTGTTGTGAGACAATGACTACACCATATGAGAATATGCGCCTCAAAAGAATGGCAGAGAATAAGAAAAAGCTAGAGGCTCTCAATCTTCTACACTCTCTCAATCCCTTAACAAATCATCTGAGTCTTCTTCCAAACCATCACCGGTTAGTAATAAAATCTCAATACTACTCCATATAAATTAATTGTATTGATTGTTGACTGATATTCACTGATGCATTTTATTTAGTCTGTGAAGGGTCGTCTGAAGTTTGTACAACCTAGAGAGCTTGAAGTAAACAAAAAGCGCCTACGTTCAACTACTACTCGCAAATCATCAATAACCCCTCCCCGATCAAAACTACAATAACCTCTCCACCAATCCAAACTACAATAACCCCTCCCCCGATCAAAACTACAATAACTTCTCCGCCAATCCAAACTACAATAACCCCTCCCCTGGTCAAAACTACAATAACCCCTCCACCAATCCAAACTGCAAAAGATGTTGTGGTAGAATATGAGGATGAAGATGTTATGGAAGGAGATGAGACCGAAGATGATGTGTCAGGAGATGAGGCCGAAGATGTTGTGGTAGGAGATGAGGCTGAAGATGTTGTGGTAGGAGATGAGGCTGAAGATGTTGTGGTAGGAGATGAGACTAAAGATGTGTGGCTAAATATGTGTATTGGGATGTAAAAGTCATAAGTAAGTAATTTAAAGTTAAAGTATTTGTAAATAATTTAAATTTTTTTACATAGTTGAGTTATGACATTAATTTGTTTACTTTTTTATATGATAGATGAGGAGGGTAATGTTTTAAATACACGTTTATGCGTGAAAGACTTGGTTGGAAATCAGAGCCGGATGGAACCTGGATAATACTTGACTTCGATAAGGATCATTGTGCAATAGGACAAGCTTATGGTTTGTTAGCGGGGTATTTGGGTGTAATTATTAGAATGTTTAAAGACATTCCCATAATATTCGAGAGTTGGAAGGATATTCCAGCAGATACAAAAACAAATTTTTATGAATCAAAGATAAAGGTATCATTAATAAACAATTACATATTTTTTAAATTAATTTCAGGGTGATTATTATTTGTTTTGTCAACTAATTTTTATTTTTATGTTTAGCGCCATTTTCTTGTTGATCATGGGCGTGACAAAGAATTCATATTTGCTTCTGCCTCAAATAAATTGAAGGATTCCTGATCTCAATTGTTTCTCCAATATTATAGACGGGATCTCACTTTGGAGGAAAATCTTCAAAATTTTCCAAAACACATAGGCAATCTGGAAAACGATTGGGCTGTTTTTGTTCATTATAGAGAGAAAGAAAAAACACAGGTAATATTAGTGTTTTTATTTGTTAGATTTCTCTGGTTTGTAAGTTATCCCTATCTATAACAAGTGTTTTTATTTGTTACCAATGTATAAAATAGTCCAAAAAAATGCCGAAAATAGAGCAAAATTGAAGGCTCCGTATACACTTGGATCTAAGTCGCTTGCAAGGAAGAAACATGAGTTGGTATGTCTAAATCTAAATAATATTGATTGTATGCCTGATAGTACAAATGATTACTATTTGTTCTTATTTGTAGGAATCGAGAGATAGACTAACATACAATAGAGGAGATATGTATGCAATTTCTCATAAAAAGTCGGATGGGTCTTTTGTCAATGAAGATGCATACAAAAATAATGTAAGTACAAGTTAATTATTTTGAAATACTTTTTAAACTCCTTAAGGTTTGATAAAAACTCAAACCTTTTGGCATCTCTTAGAGATGGGGAGAACCTGTCTGAAAACTGATTACTAAGTTACGGTTCTTTTATTGTTCTACTAAGTTACAGTTTTGTTATAGTTTTACTAAGTTATAATTAATTAGTCTTACACTTTGTCTCATGAAATTTCAACTTGTATTTTTAAGAACCTATAATTAGCAGATTCAAAGACAAGTATCATGTTATTATGCATGCAGTTCACTTAGACTAAAATTCTAAGGTGCTTGCAGACCATATAAACCAAAGATATAGTTTTCATTCAACTCATGTATTAGTGAGCTTTAAACTCCATTTAAACACTAATGTATATATTGTTTGAAGTTGTAGTTGTTTGAAAACAAGTTAAATGATAAAGCTCATAAGAAATTGTGACGATTATATTGAACCCTACACTATATTTCATAACACATTCATAGTTAAATGCAACCACTAATTTGACACGTAACCATTTTCCACTTTCTATGGATTTTATAGCATTTGGATTATTATTTGATTATGTAATTTTAAAGTGTAGAATTTTATTATTGTTACAGTATAAATATGAAAAATATGAAAAATAATACAACAACAAAAGTAACAAAAGTAATATTATTGGATTATTGGATTATATGAATCTTACAGTAACAAAAGTAACCGAATTTTATTATTGGATTAAATAGATCTTACAGTAACAAATGTAATATGAATAATATATGTTAGCTACTTCATTCTTACTCTATTTTATAGCTATTGCATTCTTGAGCGCTGCCCCATATAAATTAGTAGTAAATAAGTAGTATATTTTATAGCTAAGCATGCCCCTTTGCTATTTTTCATGTGCGGGAAAAATTTCAAGCTGCAATTAAGGATTCTGTTTCTGAAAATAAGGCATTTCAGAAAGTATTTGGAAAATAACAACATGGATATGTTCGTAGTGGGGGACTAGGAGCTACACCATCTCAGATTAATAGATCTACGAGATTGGCATCTTCTTCTGCAGAAAATGAAAAAATAAAGGAAATGCAAGAAGAAATTAATGCACTTAAAGAAAAGAATCCAAAAATTGACAAATTGATGGAGGCAGTCACATTCTTAACGCAGAGGGATAATGTTAGGCCAAAGGAAATTGAACTCTTATTGCAAATGCAAAATTCTAGTGGAAGACAGGTATATTATTTTGATTCATTTAAAGTTGAAGTTTAAGAGTATTATTTTAATACTTTTTTTAGGGATTGGAATCACCCGCTGATGGTAGACGTTCATCTGAGTCTAGCTATCGAATTTAGATAATGGATCATCAAGAAGGACAAATTAGAATTTGCTATGAATTAATTAGATTATGAACTTTCTTATGTATTTTTGGCATAATGATACTTATTATTATAAGATTAGAATTTGATATGTTTTCAGTTTTTTTGTACTACATTACATGATTATGGAACTCATATTTTATATGATTATGGAACTTGCATTTTTTTGATATTATGATACTTATTTGATATTAAATATTTTTTATTGGAATTAATTTTATTACGTTACATAGTGATTGAAAATAATACTATATATAAAAATATTATAGTAGAAATAATTTAAAGAAAAAAAATAAAAATTATAATACTATAAAAAGACAGTCATGACGGTATTAAACCGTCGCAATCAATAATTAAAAAATAAATCAAAAGAGTGTCACGACGGTACCGAACCATCGCCATTACCAATTAAAAAAATGCAAAAGATAGTCACGACGGTAACGAACTGTCTCCATTAACAATTTAAAAACTCAAAAGATAGTCACGACGGTATCCAACCCGTTGTGAACTTGAGTGACGGTGGTGTGGCGGTTTGTGCGACCATCGCGAAACAGGATGGGGACACACATTTTTGCGAATGCGAAGCAACCGTCGTGGATAACAAATTGCGATGGTTTTAACTGTCGTAATCTTCAAAAATAACGGTCGCAATCTGCCAATTTTCTTGTAGTGAAGGTGCGCATGTGTGAAGTGCGTTTGATTGCATGCATTGTCTTTGAGATTAGGGTTTTCTAACGGTTGATTTTATCTTGCCATACACACTCTAATTACTAACAATTATATGAAAAACGATAAATTTGCAGAAATTAAAATCCTACGCTATTACATCATTAGGGGTGTGGGAGTATAATTTACAAATAGGGATGAAGTAGATGTCTAATTATTACAATCATATTGAATAGTTGGACAGTAATGAAGAAGATCTGGGAAAAATGTAAAGACAGTGTAAAAAGAAAGAAAAATTACATTTTGAACTATTATGTGTCGACACAATGCTGTTATACATCGACACATAATTCTTCTTGGTCCTGTAAAACAAAATCAACTCAGTATGAGTCGATGCATAATGGGATGTGTCGACTCATGCACATTTTTGTGTCGACACATACGCGTTTTGTATCGACTCATGCACCTTTTATCCTTTTGTTTTGGGGCCTGGATAACAGTATGAGTGATGTATAAGGCCATGTGTCGACTCATACCCTATTTTGTCACTAGAATGAGTCGACCCATGTGGGTATGTGTCGACTCATGCTGCAGTTTTTTGCCTTTATCATCATTCTTTTGCATGTATCAGTCAGTTTTCAATATATAATTGATAAAAATGAACAACAAGTAAATGGTTAACTTCAAAGGGAAGTGATTACTACATTCTATTCTCACAAATGAACCAAAGATGATGTATGGAAAATGAAAAGTCAAGAAGACTTACCTTGATACTGCACTTTACATTTTGAGTCTGAACACTTTTCAAGATGTTGTGTGGACTTCAATGAACCTCTAAAAAGCTGTTGAACCTCCTTCTGTATTGAAAGTTATTGAACCAAACTCCAAACTGTCAATGAACCTCTAAAAAGCTCTTAAATTCATTGCTTCATGACATCTTTTCATTACAATTTGAGCATTTTCCTGTTGTACTTCTTTGTCGAGGAGGCGAAATGAGCATTTACCCGTTGTACTTCTTTGTCGAGGAGGCGAAATGTTTACTATTAAGACTGTTGAATTTGGAGAGGTAACGTGTTTTGGGAAACATGTCGGTCGAGCAGCGCCAATGATGGCCTAGGGCTAGGATGTCATGATGACGACCCTGGGGTTCCCAAGGCGCGTGTTTTGCACGCGCGGATCTTTCCAGCTATAAATACGAGAGGTATAGGGCGATTAGTATTTTTTGCTTTCTTCTTCAACTACTCGTATTAGATCGACGGTCGACCCCCAGCATCTGCTCAATTTCTTTGTTCGCGGTTATCAATCTTTGTATCTTCTTCTTCTTTCAGTGAGTTTCCGATTCTCCATTGTTGCATGTGTTTGTTTTTTGCTTCTTAGATATCCATGCGGTTAGGATTTAGGGTTCTGTTAGGGAGGAGTCCGTTAGAGACCCTACTTGGCGGACGTCATTCTCGTGGCGCATGGCTTCCCGAGCCGCCGTGGAGCTCTCCGGTGACATGCTATAGGCGATTCGTTTAGGGTTTGATTATTTTCTGCAACCCATTTCCGTTAGGATACCTTAGCGGAGGTCTGGATTATTTCAACATTTTCTTCCCGGCAGCGCGCCTCATTGAGGGTTCTGGTCGGGGATAAGATCCTCGTCTCCCACCACCCTTTCACATGTTTGGTGGTGGAAGGGTGGTTCTTGCATTGATGTCTAGCTCACCCTTTTCCTCTGCTTTTCAGGTGTTATGGCTGACGACGCGCACGTTGTTATTTCGAGTGAATCCATAAAATCTTCCAGGAGCTCTTCGAGCGAGACAAGTGGCAGCTCGTCGAGCATTTTGGAAATTTCTGAGGGGCAGCAAAACCTGGTGGATCAACTGAAGGGGGAGCCTGACATAAGGGCAACCTATTTTACCCGAGAAATCCTATTTCCTACTCGATATGATGAGGACCCTCGAGATTGGGTAGCTTAGGACCCCTGGGAGTGGCGGTCGTACTTTTATGAGTACGGGGAAGATGTGTTCACCGATGTTTACGTGCACGAGGAGGGGGCTTGGGAGGAGTGGTCGTTATACATCCCCAGGAAAGATAGCAGGATTTGCTCGAGATATGACATGAGGCGGATTCCTATGTACGACATAGTTTTCCGAGAGATAGGTTCCGTCTTCCCTTCTCTGATTTTGAAGTGTCTGTTTTCTGGCATCTGTGTGTGTCCCCCTCTCAGTTGCACCTGAACGGGATTTCATTTATGCCGGCATTCCAGATAGTGTGCGACTATCTAAAGATTGAGGCCATGATCCCGTTGTTCTTCTACTGTTTCAATATTCAGAGGAGCCAAACTGACAGCCGATGGGGATGGGTCTCCCTCAAACAGGGCAATGGGAAGTTGTTCAAGGCCTATTTGGAGTCTGTGCGCCATTTCAAAGACAAGTACATATTGGTGCATCCCACGTCGTCGAAGGCCATACTGAACCTTTTCAGGAGTCGGCCGTCTCTCAAGGAGGATGGGACTCCTCGATTTAACGAGATGGGGGAGCCTACCGCGACGTTGGTCGCCAAGTTCCTGTTCCAATGGACTAGCAGACACTTCGAGAAGGAGCTGGGCTCTTATGTCTCGAGAGAGGGGGAGCTCAGGGGCAAGGACCTGTCGAGCTTCGCTACTTTGACCGTGTTTGTTACTTGTATCCCTCCGATCCAGCAAGTTGGTCGAGGGGGTAGGCCAGTGCTGGACAAAAACGGGGAGCCCGTGTTTATGTCGGGTCTCATAAACGTTCGGGAGATCCTTGGGAGCGAGGATCCCGTTAGATATCTGGGTATATATTTTCTTTTTCCAGTATGTGATCGTTGTTTGTTTGACCAGTCGTTTTACTGACTCTTGTTTTTTCTTTGTTTTGTAGGAAATATGAATCCCGTCAAGAACGCTTGGCTAAGACACTCGCTGCTCGGGAGAGAAACGCCAAGAAGGATTCCCAGACTATCGCGAGGCCAACTCC